AGCATATATAACAGAGTAACAGCTCCATACCGAAATAAAAGTATTAGAACGAGAGTGCCTTGATGGCCCTACATCACTCCCCTCAGTAGTTTGACTATGAGAAAATATTTGATAAAAAAATGCAACTTTCATCAAAAAAGCTCAAGAAATGCAACTTTCATTACAAAAACTGACCTCCGAGTACAAATCACTTAGGTGAGCTAAATACAAAAGCTAAACTTTGTGCTCAGTTGAGCTTTTGTTTGTTTTGGGTTTTACGTCACATCGACACAGTATAGGTCATATCGCGACGGTCCAGCTTTACTGGTGGAGGAAGACCTCAGGTGCCCTTCCGTGCATTATTTCAGGCACGAACAGGTACCTAAGTAGAACCACCGACGTTCCGTAAGTTAGCTGGATTGCTTCCTCACATGAAAGAATCCAAAGTCCCTGTCGGGATTCGAACCCACAGAGATGAGGGGCAAGTGGTTTGAAGTCAACGACCTTAACCACTCTGCCACGGACGCCCCAATCAGTTGAGCTAAAACAAACAACAACAAATTGTGTTCAAATTTCATTAATTTATTGATTGTCAGGATTCATTCACCAACTTATCATAAATGTAAAATTTAATCAGTAAGTTACTGACATCATTAACATCCTATTAAATCATACATCTAACACATTTGACTCTGATAAAAATGACAATGATAAAAACATATGTCTTCCCCACTGTAACAACATCGTCTCTAAAAACATGTACAAAACTCAAAAATGTCTGTAGTATAGTTGTCATAAGTTTCCATGTAAACAAAATACAAGGGCAATAATTCATCCATTTAAACTGAGATCCATTGCTAGAAAAGCTCATAGTTTCTTCAATATTGTAGTAGGGTATTATGAACTGGGTGTAAAATTTTGACCAAAGGGCCATAATTCATACAACATAGATAGTTGTATAAATTATGGTCCTATGGTCAAAAATGCCTAAATTAATTCCATGGTCAAAAATTCCTAAATTAATTCCATGGTCAAAAATGCCTTAATTCATTCTAGGGTCAAAAATGCCTAAAATTATCAATTGTTTTACACTTATTCAAAGAAATGATGAACATTATACATGAATACACTACCTTAAGAGTGTTATACAAGATCTACATGTATATTCTATGTAGCAAGATTATGATGTACATGTAATATGGCTTTTTAAATTCCACTCTATATTTATAGTTCAAATTTTCTTTTATCTTATTTTCAATAGTTCACGACTCAAAAGCAATTTGTTCATAATTTATAGGCAATTTCTTCATGATTTAAAGCAACTTGTCAATAGTTTATGATTTAAAAGCATTTTTCCTTCTATAGCTTGTGATATACATGTAAGCCCATACACATAATACTTCATGGCTTAATAGTTCATGATTTGAAAGTTAATGATTTAATAGTTCACGATTTAAAAGTATTACTTCATTCAATAAAGTTCATGATTGAAATTAATGTTATGCATAATTCAGAACCTGAACTGTTTCTGGTTTGTGATATAAAGGTCATGACTTCAACTACATAAGAGTTCATGGCTGCATTTGGTAACTATAGTTACGAAAGCTCATGAATAGCTTCATAAAGTTCATGAGTTTAACCAATAATAGTTCATAAACCATGACTATCAACACTCAGTTTCCTTCATTGAAATGATAATTTTCATGAAAAAAGTTCATCTTAGACTTATTTAACAAATGCACCTAAATTAAAATGTCTTATTATTTTCTACATCAAAAATAAGTATTTTGGACAATTTTCAATATTATTTATTTTTTCCTCAACAACAACAACAAAACAAAAACACTTAAAAAAAATCTGACAACTATAATAGAGACCGATGTGATTGCACCGACTATAACAAAAATAACAATGACTATAACACGTAATAATGCTGGATAAAATATTCAATATGCTGCCCAATGGTAGCCACACAAATATGAGCCGCGTAACGACAAAACCAATATAGTGTGTTAGTGACCAGCATGGATCCAGACCAGCCTGCGCATCCGCGCAGTCTGATCAGGATCCATGCTGTTCGCTATCATACTCTTTGCTTGTAAAAGGGTTGGTAAGCAAACAGCATGGTTCCTGATCAGACTTCGCAAATGCGCAGACTGGTCTGGATCCATGCTGGTCGCAAACGCACTATGTTGGTATTGTCGTGATGCAGCTCATATAGTGCTTACATACACAAGTGCCTTTTCAGACTGCAAGGTTTTAAATAACCATAAAAAAGCAGGAAAACTAATACTTTGTGATACAGAAAATGTTCAGCTTAAATCTAATGTGATAAACAAAGCAACTCTGGTGATAAACATAAATTTTGTACATTGTACATAAATGTGGCATTTGTATGAATAATATAATTATGATGAAATTGTTTGAGAAAAACTACAGAATGATGCGAGTTCTTAGTACTTTAGCAGTATAAAGTAATTTGATTTCAATACATTTCATAGAACAAACATTTCTTAAAATATTATCTTATTCTAAAATAATTTACTATGTTTAAGACTTTTGCAAGGTAGGGCATTTTTTATAATTTAGAAAAATTATAAAAGATCTTTAAAAATTCCACCTGTTTATCACCTCTGCAAATAAATTTTCTATACCTTTTAAAGTGAATTATCTCCCTTTCCAATAATGAAAATTCCTAACCCCTTTTAGACATAACCTGCTAGCACCGACGGATTCTACACACGCAACTACTGCAGACCAAGATCATAAACTACACTGTTCAACATCAAAATACAAAAACTAGGCTATGAACAGCAGAGAGTCTGCATAGACTACACGGATGTGCAGGCTCACCTGGGTCTTTACCGGTGTCAAAAGCTCATCCATTTTGGTTCCAGCAGGTTAAGGGGTTTAAATAATCATTGATTTATCACCAATACAAACACCAGTATACCTTTATCCCCCCTTAGTTTGTACAATGAATTCATCCTTCTCTATAATTCAGATCAGTCTATTACTAATATCAGGGTTTCTAAATCTTATATATTGAAAATAAGCAGGCATACATTGATATAATCATTATGGTTTGACCGACTCTACACGGTGGTACATGTAATTTGGTCAGTTACTATCCCTGATAGCAAAAAATGACTTAAATTACACTGCCAGATTATAAATAAATGATGCAAAAGCATAAGCACTATTGCTAGTAAAAATTAAACACAGATTGGATTTTATTTTTGAAGTTGCCCTATAAAATACACAAAATTAATGGAGTTAATTATTAACATTGTGTGATGGCTTTGAAGTCTGTGACATTAATGATAAAATTTGTGAAAATCATTTATATAATAAATACAGTTAAACTTGTAACATATGACACTTTGGTACAGAGAACACCTTTTAATAATAAGACATCCTATCTACTGGTAAATCAGATAGTAACACTATTAAAATGGTCAATATAGTAAAATATAGTTCAGTTCAATACAGAAAAATTACAGATGGTGAAATAATTTTCATTTGACATTTTATTTGTTTGACAGTATAAATTTCACAGTTTTTTCTGTTTTAATAGAAGTGATTCTTTTTTTATTTAATAATCAAGCAATGAATTAATTTATTTATCTATTTATTTTATTTTTTTAGGGAGGGGGTGTGTGTCACTTTGTGACTTTCCAAAGACCCAAAGGCACCTCTCCATACACTATTTTAGCCACAAACAAACACCAAGTAGTACCAGACCTTATGTATAGAGCGACCATCTATAGGTGTCCTATATTGACAGGTTTAACTGTATTCAACTACCCCCACACAAGATCATCTCCAAATTTATATATTCAAATTTTCTTTATACCATAATACTTTAATTATAAAAACAACAATTAATTTCAGCTACATTAAGATATCACTTTAAATTCAACAACACTAAAAACGACAAAAATCATTCATAGATATGAATTTAAGACTACAAAATCACTTATTAAAAGGAACAATAAATAATAAATTGGTAACAATAAAATAACAATAAAATACTATAGCATATTTTAAATTGCATTCCTTAAAATATTTATCTTTGTCTCACCTAGAACTCTTTTAGCCAATGCAGTGCAGTAAAAATTGATGAAAATTTTATGTATAATTGGTAAGTATAATTTTTAATAAATACCCGACAGAAGAATATTCTTAAGTAGCTCAAAATGACCCAAAACATTATCATTAACAAGCACGTGTCAGAGTTTCAAGTACAAAATTGTAAATCATAATCACTTTCAACAACATATATCCTTTCTATATTACCAGAGACTTTTATTACGGAGGAATAAGAAGCCCTAAAAATAGAAAAAATTTCCAATTCTCACCCATAATCCCACAATGTGTCTCTTGCAACTTTGATACTAATAATGGAACAATCTGATTTTTTCATATGCAAGTTTCACTCTTACACTTCTGCCATGCACGCAACCAGTGCAGACCAAGATTACCTGGTTCATTTGCGCTGTCTGCTCATAGTCTGCACTATTCACTATTTGGTCAGAACATTTTATAAATTTTCCCCCTAAGTTTGATGAATAACCTTTTCCATATTGAAAAATGGACAAGTCCATTTAAGATATTTAGGGAGGTAAGGATTTAAACTATACGTCTCCAGATGAGTTGAAAATTAATGTATTCAGGAAAGTCAAATCAAACTTAAAACAATGCGCATGTATTGTTTATGAAAGGTAACAAAAACAACATGATACTTCGTTTTTAAGAAAAAAAAATCTATCCTTTTTTTAATCCCATTATCTTTATCCCAAGTAAGAAGTATTCTCGATATTTTAGTTGATACAGAATTAACTTTAGTTCAATAATATAGGAAGCTTTTAGTCAGTAGAAACACTCTTGAATCCATTCCTGGAACCAAACCAGTACCTAGCAATGGATGTAAAATGTCTTGCTCAAAGGAAAGGACAGCTTTCAACTGTCAGGGTTTGTTATTTTTTCATATATTCAGAAATTTCTGTCAAAAGTTACTGCCTACAGCTCCCATAACTCACTTTATTTAATCACCCAACAATATTTACTACCTACAACACTTGATAAATATTCATAAAAATCTGCATGTACCTGTTGATTTGTTACTTTAACAAAATCACCAATTACGTAATTACTAATTATTATCAATAATGCTGAAACAGATTAAAATCTGTTTAATAATCAACTATTTACTGCAAACAAAAAACTGCAATAAAACATCTACCGAAACAATTTCCTTCATTAAAAAATTCCAAAATTTATAATTCATCAATCACTAAAACCATTATAATTAAATCAAGTGAACTCAACAACAATAAAACAATTACACTTTCAATGAAATTGAAAAATAAATTAACAGTAATAATGATTTCAAACTTCTAAAAAAAATGCAAAATTCAGAAATAATGCAAAGTAATAGTAAATGAAATAAACAAGCCTGTGGCCCAAAAAAAATGTAAGCTTGAAAAAAGCTTCGATTACAATCTTTGTCAATAAGCAAAGCAAACATATGATCAGTCTATGAAGTCAAAATTTCTGTTTTTTCAAAACATCAATCTTCTAAAAGTCACTAAATATATTTAAAATAACAAACTGTTTCAGGTTTCCATGGAAACAGAATTTTCTCCTGAATTTCCACTATCTGTACTATTTGTAACCATTTCACCTTCTGGTGTTGACAAAAGCGAAGCACTTTTATTCTGAACACTTCCCGCACTGCTGCTGTGAATGTCTCCATTCACTAATTTAGTGACCTTTGACCTCTGAAGGTCAGACTCAAGGTCAATTTGTCTTTTGTTTACCTCTGTGCCATTTGGACTGCTTCCATTTTGACTTGACACACTTTTACCACTGTCAGAGTCGTCCGAACAGTTTGAGCACCCACTTTGAACACTGTTCTGCTCAACATCAGATTTCTTCTTAACCACATTGACTAATTCATTTTCATTTCGTATGATCCACTTATTTTTACCAACAGCTACTATTTCTAACTCTTTGTCAAACAGGTACAACATTTCCTGCGTGTACGGAACTTTTGAAGCAGCAGCTGATGATTGTAATGTTTTCCGCTCATCCTCACCATTTAATAAGTTAGAATGCTCGTTTGTTACTGGAACTGCCTGTATTGTAACAACCTTCAAATTCTGAGCCGTAGCTTGTTGTTGTTGTTGTAGCGTTTCATTAACAGGTGCATCTTTTGGTGACGACTGTTGTTTAACATCGGATTTTCCAGATGCTGCCAAAGCTGTTTCATTAACTTTATTTGTCAAATGTGGCGATGCCTCTCTCACGTGAGACAAATCTAAAGGAGATCCTGAACTATGGCTATCATTTGATACTGGACTATGGCCTAGTGGACGCTGTAAAGGCCAAGATGGAGACATGAAACCTAAAACAGCTCCTGGTATGGCAGTCGAAGCAGTAGCAGGAAAACGTGGAGAAGCTGAAATCGGAGGTGAAGCTGAAAGTGGCCCTGGCGAAGAATTCATTGAACCTAATCCTCGATCTGGTAGATTGTAGTTATATACTCCCGCATTTCTCTTATCAAGAGTGGTAACCGGAATATTGAATGCTGGGTGTGGTAGTTTCGACGCTCCTCTGTGTGACTTTTTCCTCTCATGAACAACAGTAGGCGGGGTTACAGCAGTGACAGGAGAGCCACTAGAAACCTGCCCTCCTAGGATATGAGATACATTTGGCTGCGGTACAATTAACTCCCCTGATTGAGATTTTCTTTGCTTTGGAGAGTTAGCTGCCTTTCCATTGCTTGTGCTACTTCCCTTTCCTACTGAAAGTGTTGGCGAAATACTTCCTTTTGTGATTATGTTTCCATTTCCAGTGGCAGGGCTTCCCTTATTTTCCACGACAATCCCAGATTTCATCAACAGGTCTGCATCTTGTTTCATTGCAACATATTCCGGCACCACCTTTTTAGCCTCTGTTTCCATTTTCGAAGCCGATTCTGAATCAACAATCTTATTCTCTTCCCGATTTAAATTAACAACCTGTGCACTTATCAAGTTTGAGATGACTGAATGCAATGTGGGTTGCGACTTTCCATCGCCTTTTACCTCTTCTTTATCCCTATCGAACACTTCGTCACTGTCACTATTTGACGATGATTTTTGAACAGAAACAGCGTCTGCTTGCTTATGTAATAAAAGTCCGTTATCAGGATGAGCAATCAACGTGGCTCTTCCTTCTTCCATCTGCAGCACGACAGTCTCTCCGATATTTATATCCGGCACAGAGTCAGGCGAATGAATTTGTAACATTGCCTGTGACAGTGGTGATTTCGCTCTCGTAGTGTTCACCTCACTTTGACTGTCTTTCGACACTGCAGTTGACAATGTTGTCGCCACAGACGACGGTCCCGTTATAAGTTTCTGAACACCCTCGCTGTCCAACATGCGCTGGATGGCTTCATCCAACTGATTTTGACGGTGATAGAGGGGTATATTGTCCAAATTCTGAAAATATAGGCAACCACTAGTGAGAATATAGTTTCTACCACCTTTTTTCAAAGTGCACAATTCATTCTCCTAAAAACTCCCCCATCATTCCCTAACTCTAGTCTAAAGACTTTCAGTCATTTTGAATTTGAATAAGAATAGTTTCTGGATGTTTGAGGGCAGTATCATTTTCTTTTCCGTCCAGGGTCGAGAGTTCTTCCTCTATTTTGATAACTTTAGCACTTGGTGGTGTTAATATCTGTCAAAATGAAACAAAAACATATTTGGTCAGTTTTTTCTGCAGTGTGAAAGAGCCCTATATAGATTCATTTTGACAGATACTATAGAGTATGAATCTGGGCAAAGGGAAGTAATGCAGTTTAAAAGGAAGTCCTATTCAAATTTGAGTTACCTCCCTTGTATCACTGGTGTAATATATCTAGGACAATAATGAGGTTAATCTGAATTTGCAAAAAAAAATACACAATTAATTTGCCAAGTAAACACATCTGTTTTCTTTTTGTATCAACATAAGATAGATAAACCTTGTTTATGCTATAACAACCATTCTTTTTTTCTCCATGATTTATGTAATTCTTATAAAAAACATATTTACCAAGCATTCATGCAATTTAAAGATATACATTCTTTACTTAAAAAGATTAACTGTTAACATGCTTTATCTGTTTTAACAGACTTATCCCACTTTGAAATTGGAATGGTCCATTATCAAATGAAGGGTGGGTGGGATGAAGTGCAGTTTGGGGCCTTCGATATCAACATGCTAAAATTATGATGCCAAACATACATAATCTGTACAGATTAACAAACAACCTTGACCAACTTTTACCAATTCATTTTTTCATTTGGCTTTTCTAATTCCCAGAGTAAAATTTGGCAACAAACAATAAAGAGAAGAGAATGATCTGTAAAACTGACTGCTCAAATTGAATGTTGGCAAGTTTGATATTGGTGACAATAACCTGATCATAATTTAGCATGTAAAGAGTGCTTCATAACAATATTGTCTATTTAACAAGTACCTTGGGAAAGCCATCAACCCCATGTTTTCTGGTTTTATTTGGTTGGGTTTAACATTCCACCAACACAGTAAAGGTCATAATTATGGCAACTTTCCCGCTTTAGTGATGGTGGAGGAAGACCTCAGGTACCCCCTCCATGCATTATTTCAGGCACAAATGGGCATCTGAGTAAAGCCACTGATCAACCCAATGTAATTATGTCAGATAAATAATTACCCTGTGACTTTGGGTAACTAATATAAACAGGCAAATTTACTTAAAACATAAAAACTAACCATTTTATGGAAATTTGCGCAAGATTTTTGTCTTAATTTTTGTTTCAAATTTGGTATTATTATAAGTTTAATGAAGAATGAGCAGTTACAATAAACCCTTTGCAAAAAAATATTTTATACTCGTTTAGTCAAAAAGCTTAAAACGTTAAAAATTTGTCAGCAGTAACATTCAAGTGGATAATAAAATTTTTTGAGAAAAAAATTGTATGTTAAAACACTAGAGAGAAAAAAATCTTTTCAAACTCGCAACCTCTCACTCAAGAGGCCTATATAGTTTAGTTGGTTCAGTAAACCTCCGGTTCTTTATCATACCTAAATCTTGAAACTTTGTCAAATTACGTCTCGGCTTTTCAGGTAGAATAAAGTCTTCCCTCATTGAAACCATTCAAATCAGTCAAGTGTTACTTGAATAGTTATCATTTTTGAAGTGTATCATGTCCTGTTGTTACTATTTTCAGCCTATTTGTTTTCCTTTACATGTACTTTGTATGAAATACGACACGCTTGTTTGAAACATAAAAACCTTTTGTGAAATATGAAATAAAAGATAAATATTGTTACACCCACCTCTTCCTGGTCACTAGTTGACACAGAATACGTCGGCAACGTCAGGTTGTCAAGACTGGTCGCACTGTCGAGACTGCGACGCTGTAAGATGGCCTTGTCTCGGATTATACGATTTATTGAACTAATACTTGGAATATTTTTCTCATTACAGATCCCTTCCTCTAACAGTCTGAAAATATATAAAGTAACAGTTACATTATAATATTAGCAACAAAAACAAAAAACATTCTTCAACAACAACACATTGCTTTTTATAAAGTTGACATTGATGTTTTTCCTTTTATTTAAATTTAAGAAAACTGCTGAAATATTGTTATCTTTCGAGAGTCCATACTGACCGGAAACCTTTTACCTCTTTAAAACATCAAAGATAAATGGTTTTTCATTTTTTTTTTGTTTCATTTTTTTTTAATTGAGTTTAAAATCACACCAATACAACTGAGGTCATATGGCAACATTCCAGCTTTATTGGTGGAGGAAGGCCATATATAAGGTACCCCTCCATGCACCAACCGGCACCAGAGTAGAACCACTGACATTTCGTAAGGCAGCTGGATAGCTTCCTCACACTGGCAGGATCCGAACCCACAGCAATGAGGGGCAAACATGGCCACGGACGCCTCCCTGATTTTTATTCAATCATAAATTACAAAATACAATTTTCAACCCAAAAATATGCCCCATTGTTTAATTCTTCAAAGCAGTTCACGCAAAAAATCTAAATAAATTAAATCGAAATGAGTTTATTTAACTTCAGAGTTCAGTGGCTATGAACATGACTTATCAGGTATGAATATTGATTTACAATATGCTATATCATGACAAAACGGACATTTTTTTTTTCGCGTAATCATTCAAACATTTTATCAATGTAACAATGGATATTTCTTCTTCTTCCTGGTTACCATAGATTAAAATTTTCCTCAATATATTATTTCATATTTATTACAGGTGACTGATTTTACAAAAATTTGGTACAATTTCTGCTAAATTACAAGATGCGAGTTACTCATTGTTACATGATATAATTATCATACACAGGGTAATTTTTATATTAACTGTATTTCTAGAACATTCGCTTATAATCTCTGATATTATTTTACATTTTCATAAGCGGATAACTCAAAAATTTACAATTAAAGCATAACTAACCAATTTTTTTTCAATTTTTCATAAACTTATTGTAATCATGATCCTTTTTAATCATGCAAAGTTAAAAAAATAAATATCTGTGCTAATTCAAATTTGTGTATCATTTCATGAAGGTCTGAACAAATTAAGTTGTGTCCAAAATTTCTAATCATTAGCTCACTAAATTTTTCCGGAATCACGCAAAATGACCCAAAAATGGAAGGGTTTAAACTAAATTAAGACTAAACATTGTACAAAAATTTCAATTTTTAAGATGTAGTTTTAAGTGTAATTATGTTTTTACATATTTTTTCTGTGGTCCAGTTGATCCTATAATGTACAGCTTTTGGACCTCAGTGGAATTTCTTAAATGTATTATTATATAAACCCTTCAAAATATGAAGAAATGTACTATACTTGCTCCACTTACTTTAACCTAAATACTATATTAAATTTGCCATGCATGCTTGTAAGTAGGCTACAAGATTTTTTCCCTCCTCTTATAAAACAAGGCAATAAGCTTATGATATATGCTTATAATTGTTTCCTATTATATTAAATGTACAAAATATTATAATGAATAACAAAGTACATTTGTACTGTATCTCATATAATTCACAAAACTTATGTACAACACATACTTTTACATATTTTTTTTTTCTTAACCCAGCTGTTGGACCTTAACCTTGAGCCTGCTGTTGCCAGGCAACTGATTGCAGCAATGCGACAAGTGCAGACTAAGGTCAGCCAGTACATCTGTGCTGTCTGCACTATTTGCTACTCAGGCCATTGTCACCTAAGAGCAATAACTTGTTAACTCCAATTAAATTTAGAAGAACTTAACCCGTTACTGCACAAAGGTGACAAATTATATTCTAAAGTTCTCCCTAAAAATGATAAATGGTTTCGTCCATATTGAAAGATGGACAAGTTCATCTAAGATATTTAGAGTTGTAAGGATTAAAGTGATAATTAAACCTTTGTTAAACTTAAGTTTTTTTGCCTGAAGGTAGGTATATTACACAGGGTTTGACCGTATTTTGTACAAAAGTTATATAAACAAGTATAATAAGTAACCTACTTTAAAACTGATGGATATGGCTTCGAATTTTTTGGAACAGCTTACAGTCAAACCTGAGTTTAAAGACCACATTCAGATAAAGATCACATTTCAACAAACCTTCATTGATTGAACAGAACAAAAGTACCTCCAAATAAATACCACTTGTTAATAAAGACTATGTTCAATCTATCCTTTAGATGTCCTTTATTCATAGGTTTGAATCAGAATTTTAAAGGAATAACAAAATACAAACAATTAAGCTATTAGCAGTGTTACAGGCAGATGTGCAGGCTGGCCTGGCTTTAGTCCGATGGCAAACTGGCCTATTACTTTTGTTTCCACTTAGGTTGAGGGCAGTTAAAATACTTAAATATTTACTTATATGATTCTTAAGTCTGAACACCTGTTTGCTGTTAACATTTATAAATTATATAATTTATGACATATTATAACCATGTGCAATAACTGGCATGCTCCATGGTGCATGTAACAATTATAAATAAATCTTTCATGTTTTTTTTTTCTCCTCCCTCCCTTAAGCAGTAATTCAATGAATAATTAAATAACTAATAATGCATGAATGATTTGTGGGGCCCATAATTTCACACTATATTGAGAGAAATTGCTTATTATATCATGCAGCTAATGACTCGATACTAACAACTTGATAGTGGGTTTTTTGGCATTAAATCATCACAGATATTCTGTGTTCAATTTTTCAAGCACAGTCAAACTGGCTGTCTTTAACAGCTATTGCATTTACCAGAAAACAATTTGCATTGCTCTTAAATTCTGTACCAGAAATACCTGAGCCGTGTCACGACAAAACCAACATAATGGGTTTGCGACCAGCATGGATCCAGACCAGTCTGCGCACCCTATCAGTTTCTCTACTTGTAATAGAGTTTGTAAGCCAACAGCATGGATTCTGATCAGACTGCGCGAATGCGCAGGCTGGTCTGGATCCATGCTGGTCGCAAACCCATTATGTTGGTTTTGTTGTGACACGGCTCAGTCCTGCCTTCTCTCAGCAACTCAGGTGACTTTTAACACATTATTAACTCAATTGCTACATTATATTTTCAATTAACATGTTAAATTATTTTGTATTTTCAATTAATACATTATGTTACATTATATTTTCTGGCAACATGATAAGTTACATTATATTCTCAATTGACACGTTATGTTACATAATATATTAAATTAACACGTTACATTACTTTTTCAATAAACAATCTACGAAACATTTATGTTTCTTTCCTTTCCAACAAATACTAGTTTAATGATAAATGGACATTTTCCAGGCAGGGTGAGACCAAAAAATATAATTTTTATATCACTTTAGAATAAAGTTGGCTTGCACATGGAGACTGAGGGGACCAATTGCCTGTTCATGCCAGTTTTCGAGTAGCTTTGTCACATGAAATATTTCAAAGTCTCTGGGCTGGAATTCAAACACACACCAACCAGGGCAAGGTGATTTAAAGCCAGTTTACATAACATTGCCTCTGGAATCCCAATTAAATTAATATTATCAAGGGTCTTGGGCAAGAGATCATGTGAAAAAAGATAAAATGTTGTTTTATTTATTTTTTATTTCCTGTACACCCTGTAATAGACAATGATTTCCTTTTGAGAGATAAATTATTTCTTTAATTTATAGCACGAAAAACCATTATAACAACCAACAATATTTACATTTATTGAAAAAAATCTTTTTGTTATTAATGATGCATATCGAAAATACCTAGTCTAGATGATTTCCGTCATTAAACGCCTGACAAATTTGCTCTTTCAAGTTTTTATTTGATCTTGACACTGAAATCTTATCAGTTAATTTCGTCATTCCCTTTTCATAGAAAAGATTCAGCTTCTCTTTATTATATATTATTAACATAGGGAGAAAATACCCACACTAGACAGGATTTTTGTAACCATTTAAAAGTTGTCAGATATAATCTTGAAATCTTGATGTATCATTTTAGGGATGATATAATAATGGTGATATAATTTGTATGAGAAATGAGTAAATAGTTTGACAATAAACAGTTGAACCATGATGACAGTAAAATAAAATGCATCATACTTATGAATACAGCTCATGCATGACCAATTTAAATTAAGATCCAGTAGTATTATGGGAGACACTTTATCAAACAGTTAGAATTGCATCCATGCATAATGGCCATAACCTGTCCTCTAACCAAAATAACCCAGATTTCTAACCAGGCAAGCCCCACTCTCTACCCAGACTAGCTCTGCATCTGCATAGACTTCTCCAGCTCTCTATACTATACTGTTGATGACTTCATTTCAGTATAGTGACACTTAATTTAAAGCATACTTATCAAGTAAACTAATCAACTATTGTGTAACATCAAGGCATGAAGATTTCATTGTACAAGTTTAAAGTCATTTATCCTTATACAGGTTACGTATCTGTTACAAATTCACTCACTTTTGTCGGATTTCCCATGCAAACATCTGTGGATTTTGCGCCTTGTAGAATCTGACCTTAGCAACAACATCAGCCGTGGTCACCTTCGGTTTGCTTCCGCCAATCTGACCGGGATTTATACTTCCGGTCTTCCGGTATCTGTAAAAAATGTAAGTTTATTATAATTAGTCTTGATGTAGCAAAGACAACTATAAAATGTACATGTATGTATAATTGAAATAAATCAGTTGCAAAACACAAAAAAAAGATTTTATTTATTAGTTGATGGCAAGTTGGCATTACACTTCATGTCCTAATTTCAAATTTTTTTATTCTTTATATCATAAAACTTTTAAATATGCTTCTGAGTCAATTTTTTTAGGCCTGTAGAAGGATCATATAAATGAATGCATGTTTGTTTTTAACTGCGACAGTAAAATCCAGAATTAATCATCAATCAGTCTTTATGCATATCTCTAAGCTACTTTCGGACACATTTAATCAATCTTGGTAGTGGGGCTTAATTCCCTCCACAAACCGAAACTATCAATTAAACTTTTTACGCTCAGTAAAGCTGAACCAGTGTAGAACAAGACTATCAGTGTAATTAATCACGTTTCACGAAAAACGTCAGTCAAGCGTTAAATGCCAAAACCCTCGTATACAATACATTAAACGTGGATACTTGAGCCTTCGCCAAACTGCTCGCTCACCGTAACCAGCAATTAATTCTATTATAAAACCCAACGCCACTGAAGTGCACATTTTTGTAGCTCTGATATTTGAGAAGTGATCCGTATTTCAAAAAGATTGTTATCAACACCGTGGTGCTTTAAAAAAAATACATAAGTATTTATGTTCCGTGTTTAACAAATGAGTTTCGAATTTTTACCACACAGAGTCTCATGTTACCACCATCCTTGATTCTGTTTACGCAAGAACGATTCAAACTTCCACCTCACTTCGATAGTTTTAAAATTTCTCTTAATCAAGCGTACATAAAAGTATAAAATTATTTCTCCGTATAGAAAATGCTCCAGTTACTTTTCTCTCGAGAATTACACACAAAAAGACCTATAAGTACTATTACACATTAAAAGACCCATACGTAAAACTTTTCGAGATTTTAATATTTGTCTCGATAACAGCACCTGAACAATGGAGGAAGAAACACGGAACAACAAATTGGTGACTAAACAATTTTCTATTACAAAACCAACCTTGCTTCTTTTCAAACATTCTTATCCAACATGATACATATACACACACACACACAAAAAACAGGGGGTAGACAAAAAGAATTTGCTGCCGCAATGTTCCATTGACGACCAATGAACCTTTACAAAACACATCAAACGGACAAAAAAACTTACGACTTAGCTTACATTTGTCCAAAATCAATGGTGCGAAAAATAACTTAAACATTTGTGCATAAAAGATTTAAATGAAATATCGATGAATGCATTCGTTTCCTCGCTTTGGAATGAATTCCAGTACAATAGCTTTATGCAATCGGATATTCAATACATTTTAACGTAACCCATTTAATACAATCAAAACCTATGATAAAATACTACTGATAAATCCTGTTGACCTGTTTGTTAAACATGATAAAACAGGATATGTGAAACTTTTGATTAAAAACCATCTTATTTTAACTTCGTATGATGCATTTAAATATTGAACAGGAAACTTCCAGGATACAGATACTATAATTCAAACATTTAAAGATATGACTTTAATATGCTTCCTGATTAACAAGGTATCATTCTCAATCAAATTTTACCTAAAATTATCACCAACTCTTTCAAAGTCAATCCAAGTAAAGTTATCACCATCTCTATGAAAACTCACCAGATGGTTAAGTAATATTTAAGATAACCAAATTAAGTTACCACTATCTCTATGAGTTATCACCATTTAAACATCATCAAGGTCTAGATATCACCATCTCCATGAAAAGATAACCAAGGTCAAGATATCATCGTCTTTATACAGAAGATTACCAAAGTTATATTATCACCATCTCTATTATTTATCATCATTTAAAGATAACCAAGGTTAAGATATCAACATTTCTATACAGAAGATTACCAAAGTTAAATTATCACCATCTCTATAAGTTATCATCATTTAAAGATAACCAAGGTCAAGATATCAACATTTCTATACAGAAGATTACCAAAGTTAAATTATCACCATCTCTATAAGTTATCATCATTTAAAGATAACCAAGGTCAAGATATCAACATCTCTATACAGAAGATTACCAAAGTTAAATTATCACCATCTCTATTAGTTATCATCATTTAAAGATAACCAAGGTCAAGATATCAACATCTCTATACAGAAGATTACCAAAGTTAAATTATCACCATCTCTATTAGTTATCATCATTTAAAGATAACCAAGGTCAAGATATCAACATCTCTATACAGAAGATAACCAAAGTTAAATTATCACCATCTCTATTATTTTCTCATCATTTAAAGATAACCAAGGTCAAGATATCAACATCTCTATACAGAAGATAACCGAAGTTAAATTATCACCATCTCTATTATTTATCATCATTTAAAGATAACCAAGGTCAAGATATCAACATCTCTTTACAGAAGATTACCAAAGTTAAATTATCACCATCTCTATTATTTATCATCATTTAAAGATAACCAAGGTCAAGATATCAACATCTCTATACAGAAGATAACGGAAGTTAAATTATCACCATCTCTATAAGTAATCATCATTTAAAGATAACCAAGGTCAAGATATCAACATCTCTATACAGAAGATAACGGAAGTTAAATTATCACCGTCTCTATTATTTATCATCATTTAAAGATAACCAAGGTCAAGATATCAACATCTCTATACAGAAGATAACGGAAGTTAAATTATCACCATCTCTATTATTTATCATCATTTAAAGATAACCAAGGTCAAGATATCAACATCTCTATACAGAAGATTACCAAAGTTAAATTATCACCATCTCTATAAGTAATCATCATTTAAAGATAACCAAGGTCAAGATATCAACAACTCTATACAGAAGATTACCAAAGTTAAATTATCACCATCTCTATTAGTTATCATCATTTAAAGTAACCAAGGTCAAGACATCAACATTTTTATACGGAAGATTACCAAAGTAAAATTATCACCATCTCTATTAGTTATCATCATTTAAAGATAACCAAGGTCAAGATATCAAAATCTCTATACAAAAGTTACCAAAGTTAAATTATCACCATCTCCATTAGTTATCAACATTTAAAGATAACCAAAGTCAAGATATCAACATCTCTATTAAGATACACAGTTAAGTAATTAGTATATTTATTTTCACCTTATTATGAAAAGATAAACCTTCTAAATTTCATCAACAGGATGTAGCTCTATAGTTAATTCTCTTTCAACATGTTGCGGGCCGCCCTGCTATCTTTGGTAGTTTCATTTAATTTTCTTATATATTCATTTATGGTAGATATCTTAATTTTCTGACATATTTTAGACTTAATGAAATTCTCAGAAAACATTTCTGGATAGACTGAGAAGCACCTTAGAAAGCATGTATGCTGATAATAATGATATTAGAAGGTGAAAGTAAAGACTTGTTCATAGAATTAGCCTCTGAATCAATTTTGGACTTGAGATATTTAAACCCTTTATATAATAATGGACATTTCAAAATTAGAATGTAACGAAAGTCCATTTAACAAATTAAGCAATGAGTTGTTGCCATATTAATTAAGAGGTTCAGAAAAGCGTGACAAATCGCTGGAGGGCGATAATGTAAAATGTAATGCAGGCTGATCATTCATGTGGAGAAATTAACACAGGTCATCATCAATGTATGTACAAATGGTCATTAATAATAATTTCACTTTATATGGTGAGGGGAGGTGGGAGGGGGGGGGGGGCGATAAACCAAATGTAAACACTGTAATTTATCACTTTAATTAGCATGCACCTTGATAAATTAAAAATGCATTTCACCATCCATGTCTTGCTTTTTCCTCAAGGTAAAAAAAAATAACTATTAAATTTATTATACTCTTGACTTTTGGAAGTCATATTAAGTCCCTCGAAAATAACTTCTCCAAGGTCCAATAATAACTTCTCTTGTGTCTATATTAAAGTTATTCAACTTGACCGCTGTCTTACTCATAAACAATCTAATTTGATGTTTATCTTAAATTTCAATTAAAATATCCATTATTTTTATCTTTCTTTTTTCTAAACTATGATGTAAACCAAAGAAAACATTTTTTTTTATGTCTGGGTTTGTTTTAAGTCAACATCAACATTGTTAAGATGCATGGTGTGACATTTCAGGTTTCAACTAATTGAGATGGACCTCATGTGCCTCTCCCTGCATTTCAGACATGAATGGGTACCTGCACACATCCATAAACCTTCTGCCAGCATGTGAGCCTGATAGTCCCAGCAAAGCAGGATAATAAAGCTATTCATTCAATTTCAACTTTATTTAGGCCCTAAACTTATCTCTATGTTTATTGAAGTAACTTGGTCAACTATGGTTGAGTTTGGAATGTCCCTAATGGCTTAATGTGACATTATGCCCATCCAATTGTAAATGCTGAGTGCACAGGTAAAAGTCAAAATAACTTTACATATTGCCATAATAATTGTGTTCAATTTTAAATTTTACTATGAAAACATAATCAAGATTCCACATGACCCATGGAAATGTCTATAAATATCATTCAGAATGTATTTGTAATGTTAAATTTTCTTTTAAAAAAAGGGCAGCAGACTTTTTCATAATTTAAGTAGATTTAATATTTTATCCCATTATAATTTTTGATCAGTTGATAGTGGTCAATCACCATTATAATAGTGAATCTCTTGAAACATTTACATGTACTATTTCATCTAAATTTGCAGTAAAGGAATGAGCATGTCACTTTAAGCAATATCACTCTGACTTACAGTAAAGATTAAGCAATATCGCTCTGACTTAAAACCCTGCAAAAACCAATAAACGACAATAAATTTCCAGATGAAAGACTTAAGCAAAAGTTTCGGGATAAGAAATTTTCAAAATCAAACTGCAATTAACAAAATACTTCCTAAAGAATCTTAATAAAGCCATAAGTGTACAAAGTGTTTCAAACCATTTAAATTCTAGGCATGCAAAAAGAGCTCAAAATGCTTATCTTCAAAAAATAAAATGCAGTCATTCACTTATAATTGAATAAAAGTATTCACATTCACACATTCCATGGGCGTATACCTTTTAATTTTTATCTTTATTCTGTTTTTTTTTTCTTCTCTTAATTTCAAAAGTTTAATGTCACTTTCCCATGAGACAAAATGTCTTCAGTATTATCACAGTTAAATACACAGCGATTCAACCATGACATGCAAATCAGCAATTTACATTTAAAATGCTTGACTGACAATTAAATGGAAATAAATTGCTGTCAAATTAATACTTGATAATAAAAGTACCATTATATATTTACTACACAAACATAACATTAAGATTCACAACCATTATTACACCTGGCATTAACATAAACATGGGCAGGGTTGCTTTCCTTTATGCAAAACATGAACATAACAGAGGCCTTATTATACGAGCCTACCTACGCCCCCCACCCCCACCCCCCCCCCCTTCCAAAATGCCAGCTTCACAACTGAAAGTAATGCCACTTTCATTTGTTCCAGGCCCAACAAACTTTCTAAGATTCTATTCAGGACATTGCCAGCGACCTCTCAAAATAATAACCAGTCACGTTGTTGAAATATCTCAATTAAATAATCTTGCTTTTATCAAATAAAGGAAAAAATTTTGAATTGTAAATTGGTTTTCACAAAATTATGTCAATACAATGCTTCCTCTTTTACAATTTTAAGGAAATTACACTAAAATTTCACAATTTCAAGAAAATCGTGCTTGTCTTATAGAAATCAGGAAAGCCCGAGTCCCTTCAAATTTTAGGGGGGAAAGGCAACGATGGGATAAAAATTTTACCTATTTATACTGTTCTTTATCAGAGGGTTAGTAATTTTAACATACACTAACAGATATAAATGCATAGCTCCTAAATCTCCAAAATTATTAGAGAAGCTTTTAGTTATACTGGCTTTCTGTTACTCGGTAAATGTGTGTTTTTCACAGTACAAACAAACTTTCACCATTATAGCTTCATGGTGCACTACCTGTCACAAAAGATTAGTCAACCTGTTGCGCTTATTTTGGAAGATGTTACTGTAAAAGTTTGTTTATACCTATGGATTAGATGGGAAAACCCCAAATATTTTTAATTCCGGAGTTAATTATTCTCCACCAAGGGGTCTTTGGTTCAAGCCATACTGAGGTCAATACCATGATTACTCCTATGGAAGTGATTCTGGCCACTTCAAGTAAGCGAACTCTGGTGTGGTATTAATATGCTCAAACCTTTCACCGGAATCCATCTAAAATATATATGTTTAAAACTAACCTGTTTAAAATCTTGCTAACACAGCCATGAGAGACCTGAAGTTGCCGGCTGATCTCACACGGTCTGATCCCCTGGAGGGCCAGTTGTAATATCTGGACCCGGAGGTGGTCAGGTAGTGGGCGCCCATTGGTGAACTCTCTGCCATACTGGTTTACATTTCTAGCTGTGAATTAATGAAATTTTAATAATTTATTTTTTTACATTCAATGTTCATACAATATATACATTATATACATTAAGATCAATACTTAAATGTAACTATATACTTATACACTTACTTATAGAATATAATTACACCATTTGACAATGTACAAAATTAATATGCATCAACATTTTATAAATTGACATAATACTTTTGTAAAGCTTCAAAGAAATTTATTTTTAAATGTATAATTATGCTTGATAAATATTGAAGAATATATCGTAACAAAAAGAATTTACACAGCAAAATTGCATGCTTTCATGGAATAATTCTGCATACTTTCAGATAAGAATTTTTACTTCAGATACGGATAAAATTTTATTCAATTAAAAGAGCAAATTCAATGACATGTACAATAAATTGACCAAACACTTCCAACTGTTCAAAGAGCGATCGAGTTCTGAATCTGTGGTAGCTGTCAATGCTTATTATGTTGGTTTTCCATATCAAATTGTTTACCCATAAACTGTTAGGAAGTGATCTACCTTTGCAACCCATATATACTCGTATACGTCAGGTCAGCCTGACCATCTGTGCAGTCTGACCGGGCTCTGTACTACTTGTTGCTAAATTTTTGTACCTTGATATTTAAATCCCTAAAACTTTTACATGACTGTTTGAAAATTTTGCTTCTTTATGAGAAGCAATTAAATAGCTGCATACATTGTGTTCAAAATGTAACAAAATTTGAGAAATTTTACAAAACTTAATTTTAAAATTTGTACGGTAACGTCATGGTGTGATGACATCATGAAGAAAATGCAAAACAAGTAAAAATTACTGAAAACCAGTAAAAAAAGCTTGAAATAAACAGAAAATTAGTTTGTTTTGCATCTAAGATTAAAATATATTTCACTCGAGAACACCAGCTATTATATTTTTATTTCGATCTTACATGCAAAACAAACAAATATCCTCAATGTATCTGCCGGCATTAAAGTAAACAAATACACGATTATACATATATGTGTGTATTTTTACCATTTTCTAATTCCGCCTTTTTCTTTGCATCAAGCTCACTGGTTCCCTCCTCTATCACTATGGGAACCGTCACAGGTGAAAATGCTTGACTACCACTGTCACCATTGGAAACAGTCACTGTTGTTGCCTCCATTTTCTTTACCTCAATCGGAAAAACTGTTGTTTTAACTTGACCTTCAGTTTCCTTGGAAAGGTCAAGGACGTTGACAACCTGAGGTTGTTGTTGTTGCTGCTGCTGTTGTTGTTGCTACAATTCATAAATAAATTTATAAATCACCAGACAGTATAATTATGTAAAACTTTATGTTGTAATGTTTTTTTTGTTTTTTTTTATAAGATAGTGAATATATTGCAAGGCACTTTTTTGACAGAATATATGGGGGGAGCCATTACTGAGAACAGATTCTTAAGCTTTTCTTTTTTTCAATTTTTATCAACCTCATAGTATTATGTAAGATAAGGTAAATTTGAAACTTTAAGCCAAAGAAAGTAAATGGTTACAAAGTATAAAATTTAAACCTAAAGATATCAAATGAGATCTGAATGAGGACAGAATTACAACTAAATAACCTACACATTAAGCATGCTTCAGTGAGCTTAAAACAAATACATTCTTTAACATATTTTCAGTACTTTAGTACCTAAATAGATTATTTGAGAGTCACACTTTTACCTGTGCCATTAGCAGTTTAAAGATTTCCCTGTCTTAAAGCAACATGAAACAAAGATTATATCATTTAATAATTATGTTTCCATTGAGAGCTTAATGAGATATGTTGGAAGAAGGTATGCCTTATTTCCCTGACTTAAAATCATTCAAACAATACCATACCACTTTTCTTATTATTTTAGGCATGTTGGTAGAACCTCTGACTCTAACACCGACCATCCATATTAAAAGAATCAGAAAGCAAATTGGTCTTGCCACTGACTCCCAACATTTCTTAAATAAGAGCAAAATTCATGACTCACATGGAGGATTCCGAAATATCAACTGGCACAGAGATGAGTGGTATGTCCTTTGGAGTCAGAAGGGGCAGGTATTCAATTGTCCGTATTGCCCAGGTTGTGGAAAAGTGGTAGTTTTCAAGAATTTACTACATAAATATCATACTGACAAGTTAAGAAATGCCTTCAGATAAAATCGGACAAGTACGTCAAAACCATGGTCAAATCAAATTTTTTTCAGTTATTATCATACCAACCTGTAGCATAGTCTGTTGAAGATGTAGGAAGTTAATGTATTGCTGTTGTAACAGTAACTGATAATTAGCAGTCAATGGTGCCACAAACTGTGCTCCAGTCACTGGTGTCCCTGTTACTAAAGGTGTTGCCAAGGTAACCGTCGACCCATCATCTGAGGTCAAGGTCACAGGCTGTAAAATCTGTGGAGCTTCTCCCACGGAAATTGTCGTAACAGCTGGACTAGATGTTATAATCGGAGCTTCAACCGAGGTCTCTGCCGCTGACAGGGGAGTTAATGTTTTCTGTTCGCCATTTTCACTTTTCATGTCTTCAGAGTTATCTCCCACAGGAATACTCTTCACTGCAGAGGGAGAAAGTTCAATAGTGATAATGTCATCGTCTTCGTCTTCCTCCTTTACCGGCACCGCAGGTTTTATGATTATGTCAGTCATTCTTGATAATGTTTTAAGGAATGCCTGAGAGAAACATAAGTTCTATAAGGTACGTTCTTTTCTCTTCATAAAGCCTGCTTGTAAATTCTTCACATTTTCTGTCAAGGTCACACTTCTACATCAATCGTGCCTGTAAAAAAGACAAAATTATACATGTTGTCAAAAATTCAATCTATTTTGGAAAACTCGAGCCTAGGACCACAGCCATTGACTTCCCTGTATCAAAACGATGATTTTTAGACTGAATATATTGACATGCTTTATAATTAATTATTTAAATAAATTAATAAATAATCATGCAATTTGAATGATAAACCAATCAAAATAATTTAGTTATTATATAATTTAATTATCTAAACAGTAAATGAAATATGCAAATCTCATGTTTTATCTATATCTATGATACATGACATTTTCAATATATTTCATTTATATTCATGAATCATCAATGAAGAATTTTTTTTTTATCAAATAATTATGTTTACACTCCCATTTTTCTAGATTAATTTTTATGGTAATATTTTCAATACATGTGGCAACAATACTGAAGAAACATTTGTAATATTTTAATAGTTAAATATATGTAAATATATATGTAACTGATTATAATTAAACATTCATTTCCAAGAAATCTATGCTGTATATTATAGCATTATCTAAAATTAAAAACAATATTCTATCTTAACTAAAGTCATATACATTTGTACATTATTATGATAATCATTTTCTTCCATCGCACATCAATAAATTAATATAATAACAATACCTCTTCATGTCCAACAAATGAGCCAATCAAATTAATTACATATATACATCAACCTATCACATCGATATATCTGATATATAGGTATTTAAGTATGACAATTTCACCTAACATTTTATATTTCAAACATGTAAATATGGACACTTCTGTACGTAATTTAGCTTCGAGCACTTAACAAGATAATTAACCGTCTTCTCTTTATAATAAGAAGGTTTTCGGTCACGGAGCAGTCGTGTTTAAACACCGTGACAATCCATGTAAATATTGAATTTTACCAGAGGGCAATAATATACAGTCAAAATCTGTCAAGTCGCTACATGTATTTTAACCAGAGGATGTCGTTTTGAACAAGTCTCACTACATTAGGGTTACCATGTTTTTCCAGTTTCAATCATTTTGTCAGTTAACAAAACAAAAACAACAAAATCAACCATATTCAGCATTGTTTATGCAAGGTCTTAGTTTTTGTACTGAAGCTTTCAAATTTTTTTATTACAGACAGTTCTCATCAGAATGCCAAGTTTCAGCACTTGTAACATACACAGTACATTCTTATCAGTATCAAATTTTATGTGCTGACCTTTTCCTTTAAGTTTTAGCCATAATTATAATATTAATATTTGTTATATTAATTTTCAGTTCTTTTGAAACTTGCCATAAAATAACTAAGATGCCCATCTTATATTTTTCTCATTTAAAGGGACACAAATCATAACATTCACACTTAAATACCTAAATATCAAAGGGAGACAACTTCTGCAAAAAGAGAAATCTTATCAGGTACTTTTCTAAATTTCAAAGGGAACTAACTTTCAGTCTCACTTTAAAATTTCTTTAATTAAGACATAATGACAGTAAATAACTTGGTTTTTGTTGAAAATCAGAATATATTATATACAGCTATACTCCCATATATTTATAGATATAGAAGGAGTGTTTCAGTTTCATGGCTGTTACATGTATACACTTCTCAATAAAATGAATATCTTTTTGACTTTTTACAAAAGTTGATTATTTCCCATGTAAAAACAAAAACAAAAAAAACTCAAGAAAATATCTGCTAATTTGGTTATGTCCCTTAATTGTCCTATTGTCCAAATGCAAGTATGCCAAGTCTTAAGCATGAGCAAATTATCTTGTTTTTAAAATTTCCTATCACTAACCAATTAAACAAAAAATCTAAGTTAACTAAGGGTAGTAATCCAAAAAAGGTAACTTTTAGAATAAAGCCACTTGACTCTAACCTGTTCTGAACATTATAAGCAAGTATTTCAAGTTTCATATTGATATTTCAACAGTTTTTAAATTATTCTACTAATATCAGCAATTCTGACAAAAGTCTTAAATTACAAAGGAGCATAACTAAAAAAACATAGATTTCCATAGTAATTCCCCTTGTCTTATAACTCACGGTGCCTATATGTATAAGATAGCAAATGTATTCCAAGTGATACCGAGTAACTGGTTACATCTAAGTTTCTGCACAACATCATCATCAACAACCTGGCAATAATAATTGCTTGAATTTTCTTTGAAACAGACAAGATTAAAACGTTTTTGTTCCTTTTTAATCAGATTACTAAATCATTATTTACACACATATTTACTAATCATCAAATAAAATTTGCACATACGAAATCCTGCATTTATAAATTAATCATATTAATCCCTGGTCATTAAATACAAACTTGCGTTATTTATGACCACTTTAGACACATATCATTTAACGTTTTAATTCAACCTGATCACAGATTATCAACGCCATTCCAATCACCTTCCCGCCATTTTCGGATATTTAACAAATCTACTTACTATTTAATCAAACACTTGACATCTACGAGCAAATTCAACAGTAATAATAAATTATCTACATCTTTTATTAGTCTAAATAGAAATCCTGTCAAGTCGTAATTTCCCGTCGCCAGATAATTCAACGGCACACTGATCGTACAATTACCAAAATCATATATCTGTGACGACATTATACGAAGATCTAACTACCATAAAAATTTGATCAATAATATATTCTATACAACAAAATCGATCAACTGTGGCAGTACATTTCGTCTGTACACTTCAGTTGTTGCAAAATATATATAAATACATAAGCATGCAACTTAAATGAGCCGCGCCATGACAAAACCAACATAGTGGGTTTGCGACCAGCATGGATCCAGACCAGCATGCGCATCCGTGCAGTCTGATCAGGATCCATGCTGTTCGCTATCAGTTTCTCTACTTGTTATAGAGTATGTAAGCAAACAGCATGGATCCTGATCAGACTGCGCAGACCAGACAGGTCTGGATCCATGCTGGTCTCAAACCCATTATGTTGGTTTTGTTGTGACGCGGCTAAATTATCAATCTATTAGTAAGACATATTCTTATGATATTTCAAAAGGGAATCTTGAATACTAATATCCTTTTAAATATTAAAATAATTATGTTTGAAAAAAAATTTGTTCTTTATAATCTATTAGCTTCAAGCATGATCAAATTTTCTATTTAAAATTATTTTCACACCATATTAAACTAATAAAACACATATCATTCTGTCTATAGTATATCAACTGATCTTTTGTGTTTAAGATTTATTAATAATATTACTTATTTTGAAAATTAAATTAAGAAGTTTTAAATTGAGAAGGTACAGTACACAGAGACAAAATCACAACTGCTATTCCCAATTACAAGAATCTGATATCTGAGGACCAATTCCCAATCCAAAATAACCGCTTTTTCCCAATTTCACATAAATTGTTTTTATAATTTAAAATTCTTCCCAATATTCAAACTGTTTAAACTTCTGAGAAAAATTGAACTGTTTTGACTTGCAACAAGTTACCTTGATCATACATCCAGAAATGGATGAATCTTTTGGCACATTATAAATTTGTAAAGAATTTCTCAAATTTTTCAAAATGCACATTATTTTTCCCAATTTAATCAGAAATATTTTTTTCCAAAATAGTTGGAAAGGGCCCTTATATTACAGACAAATAATTTGAAGGTGTTTTTCTTTTCTTCAAATTTCAGTGACCGCTCCATGATCTACTAAGCATTAAGATATCCTTAACAAAAAAAAAATGCAAATATTACATGCATGGTACGCCAGATATTAACATAATTATTATATAAAATAGCTGACTTCACGCTTAGATTTAGATTAACTGCAAAATGCAAATATGATCACATGACCTGATCACATGACTAAATGATACAAAACACTTCATACCAATGTTAATTTGCATAATGTATTCAACACTTTAAACCAAACATTTCATGCATCATTACGTCAATAAAAATGATTCATTAACAATTACAGCCCTTCTCTTATAAGTAAGCTCATAAATTGATAAAAATCAACTCTCTCCACCAATACTTAAGATGGATCCTCCTCAGTCACACAGATCCTCCTTACCAAAAGTAATCACAATAAATCATCCTCCCCAATACTGATCAAAATGGATCCCCCTCCCCATTATTGATTAAAATGGATCCCTCTCCCAAATACTGATCAAAATGGATCCTCCTCCCCAATACTGATCAAAATGGATCCCCCAACCCAATACTGATCAAAATGGATCCTTCTTACCAGTGCTGATCAAAATGGATCCTCCTCACCAGTATTGATCAAAATGGATCCTTCTTACCAGTGCTGATCAAAATGGATCCCCATCCCCAGTGCTGATCAAAATGGATCCCATCCCCATACTGATCAAAATGGATCCTCCTCACCAATACTGATCAAAATGGATCCTCCTTACAAATACTCATCAAAATGGATCACTTGTAAAATGTGTACAAAATGGATCTCCTCATCAATTATTTCGTGATTATTTTTATCTAAAATCTTCATTTTCATCTGCTATGCATGACAGAATTTGCATACAACAGCAGGTTCTGCATGCTAAGTCAGCAAGATAAGACCATTACATATAATAAAATGTGCATAAATTAGTTGTGCTAATAAATTAATAAATGTGTCGTAACCACGATCTGATATTATGGTTTTAACATACAGTAAGATGAAGTAAGTGTCTAATTGCTACACAATTGCTTTGAACATCTATGTATTCAATGTTTTTAGAGGGGTAATTTCATCATGCAGCTTGGACTATTTGAAATGGAATCATTCTTATCAAATGGTCATTTTCCAAGAAAAACTAAAAAATCTTTTTATAGAAATGTTTTTTGTTTTTTTCAAATCTGATGAAAGGCCTTGTCCAGATTGAAAAAGCAACAAGTCAATTTAAAATATTTAACAATATAAGGGTTAAATTAGCCAGCAATGTCATACGGCCATAAGCAACAAAACAAGAGCACTGCATACAGTGTTAACACTCTTCTGTTACAGTCAACGCCTA